AAAGGCGGGACTAGAGCACCGTGGCGGGGTGGGCAGGGCGAGGGCGCGCGGGCATCACAACGCAAAGGCCGTGTTTCCAGCGCTGCCTTGAAAATACACCCCCGGGCGAGCTCCGGCTCCGCGTGAAATAAGAAGCCCTTCGCAGACGTCTACACCCGCCCTCGGAAGCTCTTGCGCGCTCCTGTTCAGAGGTACACAAACACCGGCCCCCCAGGACGTGCCACGGAGAGGCCGTCGGCTGGGGTGGGGGCTGCGGCCTTCTTGGTCCTCTGCGCGGCCTCCCTCGGGCCACACTGATTTCTCAGGTCTCCCTAACCCCCAGACACGATCTTTCCAGGGTCACCGCCCTCGCCCGAGAGAAGCCACCGCCCTGGTCCCTTCCCGGGCAGACACCAGCCCTTCGCCACTCCCGCCAGGCCTGCAGGACCCACGGAGTCCAGAAAGAGAGGAGGCTGCAAATTGTCCGACCCGGGAAACACCTAGAACCCAACGGAAAAGCCCCCAAACCACGTAACTTAAATTAATATTTCTTCCCCACACTAGAAACGGGATTCTCAACACACACACACACACACACACACACACACTTCTTTCTCCGCTGGGTTTAGTTTCTTTCTGAGGCTGGAGGAAGAAAAACGGGGGAAGAAAAAGGATCCACCACGGACCCGCCGACGAGTAATTTGAATAACTGTGGGAAAGGGTCGGGGAACACTTAAAAAAAAAAAAAAAAAAAAAAAGCGACCGCTCTTTGCAACCCACCGGCAGCGGCCGCCGGCTCCGGCCCCTCCCCCAGCCGCACCCCCCTCGGCTAATCACCCTCATTAGAAGCGTCATCACCGGCCTAATGAAAGCAAACCGTGTGGAAATCGCCGGTAAACAGTGGGGTCTGTGCTGTAATTAATTCAGTGTCTCTTTTAATCACACTGAAAGGGAACCGGGCAGCGGCTTGCGAAGCCGTGACATCACCCCCAAAATCGGCCGGAGCCAATCAGCGTCATCACTCCGGGGACACGTGGGCGAGTCCCCTTTAAAAAAAAACACACACAACACAACGAGAAAAAAAAAAAAAAGAAACAAAAAAAAACCCAGACCCAAAGTAAAAGTGACCCAAGTTCATTTTTTAAAGCGAGGGGGGAGGAGAAGGCGCGCGCGGACCAGCCGAGAGCCGGCGCGGAGGAGCCG